AAATATGAGCCGTTTATTTTGAAAGTGGCATAAGTCACTTGATCGTAATGTGAAAAGTGGTGATCTTTTAATGTTTATACGAAATTATTTATACTGAGAAAAATATCAGTATCCTGAGATAACAAATACAAGTAAATCTTCTCGAAAGTTAGCATTCATATTTTTAAACGTGTTAAAACGCAAACCCTTAAAAACAAAGTGACTTATGCCACTTTCAAAATAAACGGCTCATATATCGCCTACCGTGTTTATAGAAAACGTGTATGCGACTTCAACCAGGTAGCCAGGTAGCCAGAAAACCGCAAAAAGATATTTTGCTAAGAACATTTTATTATTTTAACTACAGAATTGTTGAAATATTGACGCTGCTTTCAAACGTGATAAGCGATATACGTCCCTCGACGAACCGTACCTTAGTGCATAAACAATGCGGATCTCCAAACTCGATTCTCTCGAAAAGTGAGCCCAAATGGCAAAAAGTTATTGTTCACTTTTCTCATAATTTTGTATAAGAAGTCTCCCGTTGTCCGCTCGCACATAACATTCAGGGACACCCTGTATATCACGCCTACGTAATACGCATCCCCGGATGATTTACGATGTTTACGTGGCTGTAGTCACACGCGACTGTTATTAATGTCGAAATTGAAAGACCGGATTGCTTGACACCGTATCGGACGATTCCTTCGTAGGATGGAAAGTCCTCGGTTTCGTTGCAGGAGGAAACCAAACATATAAACCGTCGCGTTACATTCGCGTTTGCGTTCATCCTACGACGGATACTTCATTTTTCCTCGTTCGTTCTACATGGACCGTTCGGTTTATCGTGAATTGATAAACGCTTTTCTCGTAGACGCGGGAACGGATCGGGGGCGAGGCGGGGAGGGAAATGTTGGAAAAGCAAGAAGGACTAGTTGCCGATCGGAAAGATCGGGTCTGTAAATGACGTTAGATCTACGGGGGAAAACACTCGGTTTCCGTCCGCTTCAATCAGCCAATCCTGATTTGCATTCTGTGCATCGATCACATTATCAATTTCACATCTCATATTGTTAATAGCCGGTTCTTCCACTTATTATGATGTTCTTGTCGAGCGGGTACATGGCGATTTTTCATGCAAGACATTACGTCAGGTTGGTATTCCTAGAGACAGGGATCGCCGAGGAGGAGCGACAT